GGGTATAGAACACACTTGTGGGGGCACTCCACAACTTTACCTACAGAGCACTGTAATCACCAACTTGGGTACTGGGTACTGAGCTCTAGTAGTACAAACACTTAACCATCGCAAGTTGGGGCCATGCCTCTGAACCCTGCTTTAGTTTTTTTAATCTATAGTTTATTTTCATTTGTAGTAATGGAAGTCGTGTAATTATGAATAGGGAAAATCATTTTTTTCTTATAACTTCTTTAAGTCCTGTTTCTGAAAATCTTATATTAATAAAGTATTTAAGCAAAGCACGAGGAAAGCACACAACTAACTCGATTCCACAATAAAAGAAGACATATTTTCACCCTGAAACCCATAGCAGAATATAAATTAAATAGTTTCACAAAAATATATAAGCAAGTTACCATCATGGTGATTAATTTAATGAGACAATATGAATTTCTCATTACTAAACATACGTACTATTTCTAAATTTATTAAATGCATTGTGGTTTTGTAGAAAGTCTTTTTCTATTCATTTGAAGATGAACATAAATCTAAGAGAGAATGAGTTCTGAATATTTTCTTCAAGCTCAGTTGCTGTGAGAGCACATTCTGCTCCTTCAACCAATAGCCTTTAAGATACCAGCCTACTTGAGCATGGTCTCTTTTACTGTAAAAAACAGTGGTAACTGTGTGCCTACTCTCTTGCTTCTGACTTTCCCTTCTGACTGCTATACTCTGTTCTTGTTTGCTCAGAGGACTGTTGTCTAGAACAGGGATCTGTAAGTTTTCCCTTTAAATAAATAACCCTTTTATTTTTCATAATTCTGAATTAGTGTGGGATTGTTTTGTGATTTACATCATCCCTCAATATTTCATAGTATGTAGTCACTGAATTCCTGAGTATTAATAAATATTTCATTTTCAATTTTGAAATCAAGAAAACTTTGAGCACTTGAAAAGCATTCTTTAGTTGTTGATTCTCCAAAATAAAATAAAAAAGACAAAACACGATTTGAGCAAATTTCCTCTTGACATATACTAATAGACTAGAATGATTTTTTGATTTTTATGACAAAGAAGAGATCAGTAACCTTCAACAGACATTCATCAGAAATTGGCAACATTATGATTGAGGAAAGATTGAATCTCTGAAGATTGAGTGGTCAGACATGCATTGAATTTGCTGTGGTTTATTGCTATATCCCGGAAAGAGTATCTCATCATCTTTCCCTAATGAGCTTATTAGTAAAAGGCTGAAAGAATCACAGATTGTCTATCAAGGCAGATTGTCAGTCACAAACTGTTAGCAACTTTTCTGCAATTTATGCATCACAAGGAAAAAACCGAATGGTGCTAAAATGCTGCTTATTATGTTCACAGTTGTGCAGTGACACAAATAAAATGTGTGGAGCAAAGGTTTAAGGGAGAAAAATAACTTCTGAAGAAGAAAAATCAAAGTAGATTAGAGAGAATAATGCCTTACCACCTCCAATTTGCTTCACTCATAGTTATAAAGGGCAAGGAAAATCAAGGAACCAGGAGCTCTAATTGCCAGTGTCCAAATGATGCTATTAAAATTCACTTGGAAAGATGAAGAAAAGATATCAGTCTGCTTGACTGCTGCCAGTATTAGATAAAACTGAATTTCCTATTTGGAGTGTAGATATCCATACATAAGGCATATAGTTATGGTTTCTGTTTTCCAACTCCTCATTTACGTTTTACTTTAGCTAAAATCAAGATTCTGAAAATTGGGCTAATATCTATTCTTTCTCTTCTTTCAAGTAGGTGTCATTGTGCCACATTAATGTACTGATATGGTACCCAGATCTGTGAAAATAGAAACATTAAATTTTATATATTTGTTTCCATCATATTTTGTTTTTATTTATATTACTATAAAACTAGTATCACTTTATTGTCATACTTTTCTGTCTTCATCATGAATTAGGAACAGTGTATAAGTGCTGTTAAGGTAATGGAAAGAAAGTAGAGAATTAAGCCTGGTAGTGGCACAACACTTTAATTGAATCCTGGCTCATGGAAGGCAGAGGTAGGCAGATCTTTGTGAGTATGAGGCTAACTAACCTGGTCTGTAGAAGGAACTCAAGGGCAGCCAAGGTTATTATATTAAGAAATCATCTCTTGAAAAAGTAAAAAAGAAAGATAGAAGGATGAAAGAAAGGTAGAAGAGAGAGGGGGAGGGGAGGGAGAGAGAGAGAGGGCAGATTCCTTTATCTTCCTGATAAATGGCACTTCCAATAAGTGCCACTTCCATATGTGTATATATATATATACATATATATACACGTACATATATGACACTTTCATATATATATATATATATATATATATATATGCTCTGATGTTGGTCTGTGGGATGTTCTTTTTCTGAAGATATGCTTTATTCTTTGAGAATTATATGCAATATAGTTTCATTTCCCTCCACCAGTTCTTTCCAAATAATTCCTAATTTTCTTACTGAACAAAATCTATGCTTCTCTCTTTTACAAATAAAATATAATCACAAAAGAACATGTGATATGATTTCTTTTGATCAGCTACTTCTAAGCATGTGACCTCACCTAGAGTGTAGTTAATATGTCAATAGTCATCTGTACTGAAGATAATTAAATTTCCTAATTCAGTCACAATCATTAGCAAATAGCCTCTCAGTTAAGAGTGGGAATTTGCGCCCACTTCCTCACCTCAGTTCTGGTATTTTATCTGTCCTCAACTGGCATGTGTCTTATGAATTTTGTTACAGTTTCTGTAAGTTAAATACGTCTGCCTTTTTATGTCTGCAAAATACTGTTTCCTTGAGGTCATCTATAACCTCAGACAGCAACCACATTGTGGTCCCACACATCATCCCAAATATACCAGGAGAAGTGTGATATAGACATCTCATTTATCATTGGGCACTACAAAATTTCTGACTCATTGAATCCATTTGTGAATCTTTAAGTTAATTACCATCTCCTGCACACAAAAAAATCTTCTATAACAAAGGTTGAGTATGTACTGATGTCTTTGCACACAAATGTTATTAGAAATCTTATTATTCTGTTTATTTAGCAGAGTTATAGCATTTATTGCCATGTTTCAAAATCCATCTGGTTCTAGATTTTTGATCTCATTGATAGTGTTAAGTATGGGTTATATCTAATAGAACAGGCTTTAAATAGGATACCCATATTCATTGCATAAAAATACAATGAATTACTGCCTACATTAAATATGTTTAGAAGACAGAAATTTGTGAGATATATTGTCATATAAGGTGATGTATAAAAATTAGGTATACTGTAGATTAAATATTCTTTGAAATATGTTATCCACCCAATTTCATCATCAGAAAAACTGAAAACTGAACTTGTAGTAATTATTGTCTATATTAAATAGGTTTAGAATATAGAAATTTGTGAGATATAGTATTATGTAACATGATGTATAAAAAAACTATTATAGACTAAATATTCTTTGAAATATCCTAGGCACCCAATTTCATTATCAGAAAAACTGAAAAACTGGACTCATAGTAGAAGGATAGATTTGATTCCAAATGGCTGACTTCAACATGAGATTTATAGCAAATGTAGATTTCTGCATTTACATCATATACTTGCACATATAATATAGACAAATACATTTATATTATTAGAAATTATTTAAATATACAAAAAATAAAGAATATGGAAATCATAAAAGGTATGGAAAGGATAAAACATAAATAAAATAAACTAAATAAAAATAAACGTTAATAAAGGACATATAATCTTTTTCAGAAAATGACTTCATGGTTATAGGTTTCCCTAAGTAACAGAACATGAAACATGCTCAAAAATATGTATATGATGATGTTATAATGCAAAATTTGTATATTTTTTTCTAAATACATATTGAGATATTATAAATTTAACTTAAATTTAAAATGTATATTCATCTTTATTTGAATTTGAAATTCCTTTCTGAGGGCCTAGTGATGACCAAATGTCATAATATAAAACATTTTAAACAAAAATACTTTAAAATATTTTTAAACAAATGTACTACATATAAATTAGTTGAGAATAGAGACTATAATTTGTAATATTGTTAAACACATTTCCTTTTATTGAAAGTATAATTTTTTAATTACATAGCATTCTTTGATTATCATTTCCTCTCCCTCTCCTAAAACAATTAACTTGCACCACCTCCCTTTTTACCCAAATCCATCTCATTTTCTGTCTCCCATCAGAATAAAAACAGGTTTCTAAGGGATAACTAAAATCAAATCAAACAAATACAATATATATGAATAGTACAAAATAATAATGCAAAGGAAAGGGTCCAAGATAGGGCAGAAGACATATACATAAATGTGGATATACCCATAGACACACTCATGATCCCACAAAAACATTAAACTGAAAGTCATAAAGTGTATATTAGGAATTTTTTTGGCAAAAGGAGTTTGGAAAAGCAAATAGATAACAAATACATAAAGAAAATAGAAATTAAATATGAAAACTTAAAAAAGAAAGAGAAAGCAGAGTGAGAGAAAGTGGGAGAAAGAGAGGGAGAAATGAATTATGGTAGAAAGGAAGAAGGAAGGAAGAATGGAAGAAAGAAAAGAACGAAAGAGAGAGAGAAAGAGATAGAGAGTTGGCTATTTACTATTACGCATGGAGTTTACCTTTAAGTGTAGTTTTTTTTTTTATCACAGTGAAACTCTCTTGGAGAAAACGAAAGTTTCATTTGCATCTGGTTATCAGTTGGGGATAGCTTCTGGGTTATAGGCATGGGGCATATGTCTATTGTAGAAAGAGACCACTCATTTGTTTCCTAACTGTCCAGACCTGAATAATCACAAATAAACTATATTAAATATAACACTGTTTGACCAATGGCTCAGGTGTATTTCAAACAGGCATATGTTTTATTGATTAATAATTAATAAGAAAATGATAATTTCTATTAATCTCTGTATTGGCATGAGGCTATGGCTTATTGGTAAGGATCTGGCATCTGTCTCTTTTGAGAGTTAGATGGCAACTTTTTGACTCTGCCTACTCTTTCTATATCTGTGTTCATATTTCTCACCTGGCTTTACTTTGCTAGACCATTGGCCAAACCAGCTTTATTTATTGATCAATAAAGGCAATACATATACAGAAGGACTCCCCATATCAGTCCACTTCCCATTTTGGCTTTAGGACTCCCCATGCAGGCTCTGTCATGCTGCCTCAGTCTCTCTGAATTCATACGTTCAACAATCCTGTTGATATACAGAGACTTGTTTCTTTGGTGTCTCCCAACACCTCTGAATCTCACACACTTTCTTTCGTCTCTTCTAGAGTTCTCTGGTCCCTGAGAGGATAGATTTGATGGAGATATTATTTTTAAGGTTGAGTTTTGAAACCACCTTTTAAATGCAATACACCTTTTGAAATGAAGAAGGCCTTCAAGTGGCATAGAATGATTACATATGTTATACCAAAGTAACAATATTTGTGAGGCACGTGGAATTTTAATTATCAATATGCTTATTATTCTTCATTCTTAAATTTTAATTCAAAATAGACTCCTCTCCCATACAATATATCATGACAGTTTCCCTCCCCCACCTTCTTTCAATTTTCCTTACCGCTCCCTTTCCCTGACCCACTCACACTCTATTTCTTCTTTAGATTTGCCCATATTTTGCTATTTTTAAAAATAAATATAACATACATCAGTATGCAAAGAATGACAGCCTATATATGTGACTTTAGATAACTCATTTGAAATCTGGTAATAAAATTCGAACATACATATACACATATCATTCCTCTATGTTTATGTTTCTATTTTGTAACTTTAGCACATAAATTTTCTTGTAAAACTTTATACTTAATACTGTTTAATATTTTAGATAGTGCATTTGATTTTGGTAATGACATAATGAAGGCTCTTGTAATATTATACTTCTTATTAGTCTAGCAATTGTACACTAAAGCTCACTGTTTTCTTGCATCATATATAAGTCAGCAACATAAATCAGAAATAAAATGGTTAAACAAACCTTCATAGCCATCCCTGTCATTGAGAGTAATACTGAAACTTTATAGTTGTGATACAAAAAACTCTATTGGAGATTTTGGATATTTTGTTAAAAGAGTTGAAAAGCAAAATTTGTCTAAATAGTATACATGTAAAACAAAGTTGAACAAACAACACAAACTCACAAAATTGTAAGTGATTTCCATTTTAATTAAATATCTTCAAATAATCATATTTGCCATCACACTTACTTTTGATATCAATTCAGTAGAAAAACATCCTTGTTGGAAAACTCCCTCCAAGTATTGTATGGTTTTCTAAGACAGAAACTGTCCTTCTTTAAACTCCTGTGACTCTTCTTTTGTCCTGCAGCATATTTTATGTTACACAGCAAAAGGTTAACAATTTTTTAATGGCAAAGTATTATCCTATTTGAAATCCATATTTCAAAATATTTCAGTGTACTAGAAAAAAACAATACTCTTGTTGGTTGTACTTGTGAGTGACTGTTTTTGCTTGTGAGATACTCCATCCAAGAACCCTAACAGTTATGACATGGTTCCACATCATCATGATGCATTTCAATTATATTCTCACTCCAATATCATATCTTGCCCCCTTTTCTTCCTCCACTGAACTCACCCATCTTCCCAAGTAGCCTTACTTCTACAGTACTGGCTTTAGTAACTTGTCAAGTGAGTTTAATTGTCCCCTTATATGTATGGGTATCTTTGTAACTTAATTAATGTAATATAATGTAGTTACATGTAATGGAAAATATATTGCAAATGTAGTTACATATATGATCATGTTATCATAAACTTTAAAAATAATCAGGTATAGTTTTCCACTTGTATTTTATGGAACATTCTGTGACTATCTTATGTATTTGTGTTTCTTTCCTTTGAGCACTTACCTTCTGAGAGGCCACTGAAGCAGGAGGACCAGCCTTCTCCTGGACCCAGCATTGCTGTGCCTGGTTCTCAGTTTACTTTCACTTTGCTTCCGCCACCACTGGGCCTAGGTCCCAGCTTGCTTTCACTTTTAGTTAGTTTAAGTTTCACTTTTGTTTTCTGTACTCTGTTAAAATAAAAAGAGAATGCAAGTCTCTTGGTCAGGATGTCACAATCTCCAGAAAATTATGTTCAAGATGTCCTACCCACCCTCCCTTCAACTCCTGATTGCTTATAAAGTGAACTTTGTAAGAGCTTGCAATCATTTTGTTGTCTGGATGGCAGATCCAAGCATGCTGAAATAAACAACAGTCTTGGTGATTGTTTGTGGAATGTTCTACAGATCCTAATACTTTAACAAAAATTGGATGAAATTTTCCATATGAAATTTTATATATTGCTTGAAATCCATCACTTTAGGAAAATTTATATTTTGTACTGAAAAATACTTATCTTAAATCACATATATACAACTACACAAAATTAGCAGACTCAGTTTTCTTTTACAGTTGTGTATGTTTTTGTGTTTGTGCTCTGTGTTTACAATAATATAGACATAGGACTGAGGGGACCTGAAATATTGCAGGGAGTGTTCCTGCTTCTGGGCTTTGTTTCTAACAATCCACCCTGTGCCTATGCCAGCCCGTTTGCCTGAGAGGCTCTTGGAACCCTGCAACACAGCCTTCTCCAGTGCTCAGGACACCAGAGAGTATCTTGCAAAAAAGATTGCTACAATACTGAGGGGACCTAAGAAAGGGCAGACCAAGAAAAACTCCACTCAGACAACCACAGCAAAAGATTGGAACAAGATGCCAAGACTCTGTTGGCCTCATTTGAAGGAAGTGATGGGTAGGCGCCAATACAAGAATTCCTCCAACATCCTAAAAAGCAACATGGTAACCAGAATCGAGCAGATACACAACAGAAAGACTTTATTATCCTAACCAGAAGAGGTAGAAGAAAATGACTAAAAGGTAACTTTAGAAAATGATGGAGACTTTAAGAGAAAAAGTGAAAAACTCCCGTAAAGAAATGAAAGAGAAGATGAGCAAAAAGTTAGAAGAAATTAATAAGTCCCTCAAAGATACCCAAGAAAACCAAAAAAAAAAAAAAAGCAATCAAATAAGAGAAGCAAACCGTTCAAGTCTTGAAGACTGAAATGGAGGTAATTAAGAAAACACAAACTGAGGGAAGGTTGGATATGAAAAATCTGGGTAAGCAAACTGGAACTACAGAGGAAAGAATAACCAACAAAATATAAGAGATAGAAGAAAGAATCTCAGGCACTGAATATACTATAGAGGAATTAGACTCACTGGTTAAAGAAAACATTAAAGACAACAAATTCTTAAGAAAAACATTTAGGAAATCTGGGATACCATGGAAAGAACAAACCTAAGAATAATAGGGGTAGAAAGAGAAGAACTCCAGCTCAAAGGAATAGAGAATATATTCAACAAAATTATAGAAAAAAACTTTCCTAACCTAAAGAAGGCTTTTCTTATGAAGCTTACAGAACACAAAATAGGCTGGATCAAAACAACAACAACAACAATAACATATTTTGCCATATGATAATCAAAACCTAAAACATATAGAAGAATATTAAGAGCTGCAAAGGAAAAAGGTCAAGTAACATATAAAGGTAAACCTATTAGAATTGCACCTGACTTAATGGAAACCATGAAAGCCAGAAGGTATTGGGTAAATGTGCTGCAGACACTAAGAGACCATGGATGCAAGCCCAGACTACTATACCCAGTCAAGTTTTCTTTCACCATTGAAGGAGAAAACAAAATATTCCAGGATAAAAACAGAGTTAAACAATACCTATAAACAAACACAACCTTACAGAAAGTACTAGAAAGAAAATCTCAACCCAAGGAAGCTAACAACGCACACAATAACACAGACAACAGATAACCCTCAACCAACACATCCTAAAGAAAGGAAACAAACATTATAACCAAAATTAACCATGGTCAACAACTACTGATCAATATTTTCATTTAATATCAATGTACTCAATTCACCTACAAAGAAAAACACAAGTTAAGGGAATAGATATGAAAACAGGATCCAATATTCTGATGTTTACAAGAAACATACCTAAACCTCAAAGACAGACACTATCTCAGAGTAAAAGGTTGGGAAAAGGTTTTCCAATCATAGGACCTAAGAAACAAGCATGTGTGACTATCCTAATATCTAACAAAATTGATTTCAAACTAAAATCAATCAGAAGAGATGGAGAAGAATGCTTTATACTCATAACAGGAGCAATTCATCAAAATAAATTCTCAATTCTGAATATCTATGCTCCTAATATAAGAGCACCAAAATATAAAGAAGAAACATTACTAAAACTTAAATCACACATCAAACCCTTTACACTAATAGTAGGGGACTTCAACACTCCTCTCTTGCCAATGGACAGGTCAACCAGACAGAAACTTAACAGAGCACTATGAGAACTAACAGATGTAAAGAAAAAAAATGGATTTAACAGACATATATACAACATTCCACCCAAACAGAAAAGGATATATCTTCTTCTCAGTAGCTCATAGAACCATCTATAAAATTGATCACATACTCAATAACAAAGCAAACACCCACAAATACAAAAGAATTGGAGTAACCCACTGTGTCTTCTCAGATCACCATGGATAACGGTTAGAATTTAACAATTATATTACCCCGAAAACCCACAAATTCATGGAATCTGAACAGGCATCTACTGAACAACCCCTGGTTGAAAAAAAAATAAAATAAAATAAAGAAAAAAATCAACGTCTTCCTTGATTTCAATGAAAATGAAGGCACAGCATATCTAAACCTATGAGACACTATGAAAACAGTACTAACAAAAAAGTTTATAGCACTAAGTGCACACATAAAAAATAAAAAAACAGAGAGAACTCACACTCGCAACTTAACAGCACACCTGAAAGCTCTAGAAAAAAAAAGAAGCAGATTCACCCAGGAGAAGTAGAAGACTGGAAATAATCAAACTGAGGGCTTAAATCTCAAAACAGAAACACAGAAAACAATTCAAAGAATCAATGAAACAAAGAGCTGTTTCTTTGAGAAAATCAACATTGAAAAACCCTTACCCAAACTAATCAAAAGGCAGAGAGAGAACATCCAAATTAACAAAATCAGAAATGAAAAGGGGGACATAACAACAGATACTGAGGAAATTCAGAGAATCATTAGGTCTTGCCACAAAAGTCTGTACTCCACAAATTTGGAAAATGTAAAAGAAATGGAATTTTTTTTGATAGAAACCATATACCAAAACTAAATCAGGACCAGGTAAGCAATCTAATTAGACCTTTAATTTTGGAAAACATAGTAACTGTCTTCAAAATCTTCCCAATCAAAAAAAAAAAAACCATGGGCCGGATGATTTTAGTGCAGAAATCTACCAGAACTTCAAAGAAGAAATAATACCTATACTCCTAAATGTGTTACACATAGAAACAGAAGGGTCATTGCCAAACTCTTGTTATGAGGCTACAGTTACCCTGATACCAAAATCGCACAAAGACTCAATGAAGAAAGAGAATTACAGACCAATCTCACTGATGGAACATGGGTACTTAATTTCTCATGGGTACTAAATTTCTCAATAAAATACTGGCAAACCAAATATAATAACACATAAAAAATCATCCATTAAGATTAAGTAGGCTTTATCCCAGAGTTGCAGGTCTAGTTCAACATATGCAAATCTATCAATCAAATCTATCATATAAATAAACTGAAAGAAAAAAACATATGATTATTTCATTAGATGCTGAAAAAGCATTTGACAAAATTTAGCACCCGTTCATGATAAAACTATTGGAGAGTTTAGGGATACATGGATTATATATAAATATAATAAAAGCAATACACAGTAAGCCAATAGCTAACATCAAATTAAATGGAGAAAAACTCAAAGTGATTGCAGTAAAATCAGGAACAAGACATGGCTGTCCACTCTCTTCATATTTCTTCAACATAATGCTTGAATTTCTAGCAACAGCAATAAGACAGCAAAAAGAGATCAAGGATATTCAAATCGGAAAGGATGAAGTCAAACCACATTTTCCTTTGGCCTTCATCAGCATGTGATGAACATCTAAGTTGATCCTAATTGGCCACTGTGAGTAGCACTGCAGCAAACATTGTCATATACGTAACCATTTCATGCACAGATGCATTTTATTATTGTTTGTTTGTTTGTTTGTTTGTTTTTCTAAGACAGGATATCTCTTTGTAACAGCCCTGACTTTCCTGAAACTCTCTTATAGAACAGGCTGGCCTCTAACTAACAGAGATCCACTTGCCTCTGACTCCTGAGTTTTAGGATTAAAGTTGTGTGCCACTACCAACGGGGTGTGATCTCTTTTAGATTTTTTATCATGTAACAGACAATGATCAAGGTAAACAGGAAACAAGTACAAATTTTCTGATTCCACTCAAAGTTTTGAAAAAATTCATTTTTAATATTATTAACATAAATTCTCCTAAAAAAGTTTGTAAGAAAAGTTCTATATGCATTAATAACTCAAAAATTATCTTTTTCCTAAATTATTTGTAAGTAGAATAATTTTTAAGTTCTGTATATCAAATTTAAAGTACATTAATATTCTAAATCTTGAGAATTGATAGTCAAGATAGGTCTTGAATATAGCTCTAACACCACATAGATTACTGTCCTTGGTAAGGTCACAATATTCCTTGTTTTACTAAATTATATTTTAGGAAATCCTATCAATTTACATGTCTTGCCCATCTCTGAAATAGTATCTTACTATGGAGACTATTTTATATGTCATGGTCATATTCCTTACTTTATTTTAACTTGTGGATATTGATATCTATTTCATATTTTACATTGACATCTTAATGATCATTATATTCCTCATGAAAATTCATTCCTCTCTTTTAACTATGGATGTAAAATAGTGAATCTTAATTTTATTTGTATGGTTCTTGTTGACTGAGTTTTCTATCCTTCCTGGTTCCCACAATCACTAAGTCTCAAAGAAATCACACAGAGGT